CCCCAAAACCCCAAAACCCCAAAACCCCAAAACCCCGAGGGATTGAAGTAGATTAAATTTGAGATAAAGTTTCAAAAGTATAATTCATAAATGTCATCATATTTTGAAATTTAACAGAAAAGAAAGGAGGGAATCACTGATCAAAGATGTAATTAAGTTAAGTATAACAATAATGTTTGCAGATAACTCCAGAAAGAGGAATGATAGCAAAAACAGGCAAGGTAAAATGCAGGATAGCAGAAACCAGGGAACTATACAGAAGAGTCCACAGATGAAACATAAAAATGTGATGAAATACACATCTTTAATTGATAAACTGAGCACATTGAATACTTAATAATCCTAGGAAAATTTCTTCTTGTAGTCTTAGCCTTTATCTATTAATGATTTAAGATGTACTAGCTCTGCATCAGTTTAAAATCTTAATACTATGACTCCAATCTAGTAACTTTATGATCCTTTCAATAATGAAAATAAGGAAAACTACAATCTATAAAATTCAATAGCAAATTAAGTTAGGTCATCATTTAATAGCTAAAATCAATTCTTGAATGGACCTAATTAAAATCCATCGCCAATCAAGCTTCAAAGTTCATTTTGCTCCCCTTTAATAGAATAAAGATAAACATGCTCAGCTCTTGGCTTAAATTCAACTCAGTAACTTAACTAATAATCTTAATTTGGGATATATCCCTTATAAATTTAACCATCAAATCCGCGATAGTAGTCTCCTCATTTGTCTTACAACAGTAAAACAAATATAAGAGCTGATAGAAAAGCCATAAAGATAGTTGAAGCTCATTCTTAGTTTAATAGCTATGTTAGCAAAATTAATGAACATAAGAATTTTGTCTAATAATAATAGTTAAAAGCTGAAGAGGAGAGATTAAGGCAATAATAAAAATACATGATGGTAAACAGCATGGTCCAGAGTCAATAACAACTCTTGAATTAGCAGCAAATACAAAACTTATTTAAAATTGATGATCTAGAAATGGAGGCATAAAGTCTCACTCCAACAAGAGAGAAACTTTTTGGTGAGAGTGCAAATGCAACTTCAAGTGTTAACAAATACTTTGCTTAAAAACATAATTAAACTCTGGATCGCATCAATTATCTGAAAAATTTGAAGGTACAAGAGGAGACTAGAGAGTGCACTCATAGACCTAAGATCAATAAAAAATCAGTTGATATGGCTCTCAGAGGAAGAGTGAGGTCAATAAGCAAAGGAAGCATAACTAGAGATAAAGACATAAAAATATAAAGTTTACTCACTTGTTTAGAGAAAAATGTAATCAATTTATGGTTTTAAACATTTTTAGAATGACAAAGCCATGGAAAATTTAAAGTCAAAAGTTTACAATGAAAGAGGACTAACATTTAGTCCTCATATTAATGATAATAGTAAAACAATGAAGAGAGGAGTTTAGTAACTTTTAGTTTGGAATGAAATCAAGAAGCACAAATAGTCTGAGAAGAAACAAATATTTGATCATTAGGAGAGTTTAAGAAAGTCTTCATTTGTCAACAATCACTCAAGAGAGTTATTGCGCTAGAAAAATGAAAGAGAGATAAGGAAATTTCAAGAGGAAAGATTTGATAGAGGTGATATACTTAAGTTTAGTCCAAGCTCTAAGATGGTTGCCAGTCCGTAATCCTGTATGAATAAGATCCCTTCAAGTCAAATGAGTTCTCAGAAGACCATATCTCTTCATTTGAATACTTTCATCTCGAAATAGTAATCAAATTACATCTTATCTAACCCATCCACTAATAAATTAGATAATTCAACCTCTAACTCTTAGCTAGATACTCTCACTGCCTATTCAAAATCTACTAATAATACAATAACATCACCTAAAATGAACTAATTCAATAAATTTACTCATCAAGGCTAATCTTCATATGCTTCAGATGCAAATACTTCTGCCAGTAGGGCTATGTGGGGTGAAACTTCTGATAATCATCTGAGGACACGATAAATAGGCCTTTAAAATATTAAAAGCTTTAATACATTGTAAAGACCACACAACCAATACCAGAGTCAAATACTCTTAAACAAACAAGATGCTAAAGAATAAAATCTTACTCAAATGCAAGATTATAATTCAAATAGAGAAAATCAAAATGTAGTCAGTTTCTTTTAGCCTTCATAGTATCAAAGCAAAAATTAGAAATATCTGGAGTATTAATCATCTTAAAAGAAGACATTCGACACTCAAAAAGATTATGACTACAGTAAAAGTCATTAAATTGAAGAGGAGCAGTAAAATATTCAGTAGTAATAGTAGCTATAATAATACTATGAAGAATATTAAGAAAATGAGGAACAACAAGATTAATCTTAGAATGAAGAGTAATCAAATGACGTAGAAAATGAATATGGTTCATAAGACATTCAAGAAAAAATGAATTAAGCTAAAGAGATTAGAGAAAGGTTAAACTAGTTTTATCTATAGAAAATGAGAAATAGTGTAAGCTAAGAAAACTCAATCTAATACGAGGAAGTATCCGATGTCATTACTTAAAAATCATAAAGTATCAGAGCTCCAGAATAAAAGCACCATCAATCGACTTAAATTATCAATAATCAGAGTAATTTACTAAATTCTAATAGCATGGGTAACTTCAGTGGAAGACCATCTCATATTATTACTAATAATTCGACACTACCAGGAACAATTATGGTGAAAGGATCTTACATGTATGATTAAAATGAACCAACATAATCAGAATAGAATATGATGATTATTCACTAAAATAACTAGCCTATCCAATAGATTCACACAACTACAGCTTCTTTCAACCATGCATCTAATGCTCATTCCTCTAAAAATAATTCAATCACTCCATCATTGAATGCAAGTCAAAGTTTAACAGAAGGTGCAAACTCAACTTTCTCATAAAATCTAAATAATATTTCTGGAATAGGATCACCTCCTCAATAAACAATAATTCCTATTCAATCAAGTGGAATTTATGGCTCAAGTGATGGCCTAAAGCTTTCATTCAACAATTCCTAAACTAATCAATAGTCCTAAATTTAGACTCCTATTATTTAAGGAATCAGTCAAAATACAAGTATCAGTCATCAATTGCATCCAAGCAATAATATTACATAAGTATTAGCTGGTGGAGGATCTGTGAATGGCTCCCTCAATAACCATCTAAATATGTTTATTCAAGGTCAAGGGTCAAATCCATAACAGTAGTTTTAACATCAAAATCTGTCTCAACCTATTATAATGAATTAAATTCCTTAGATACCTAATCAGCTCATGCGTAATATATATTATTACTTAATTTATTTTAGAATTCTTTAATCCTTAGAACAATAATTCACTTCAGTAGAAACCTCTGATAGCCTGTCATTAAGAAGCGACGTAGAAAATTTAATAAACAAAACATTAGCAAGCTGTTGCTGCAGCTCATTTCTTCTCACTAATGATGCAATAAACTATGTAGCAGTAGTAAAACCAACAGCAATAACAGCAGCAAATAAACAGAAATCAATCAGATTCGTTAATCAACCAGCATTAAATATCATAAGGCAGTATTTCATCTCCATAAAACTTCCCTCAGCATATGCTAAATATCTTAGTGAACAACTAGCAATCCATAGATTCATAGCAGATGATGAATAGCAAAAATGGTATTGGAAGACTCCAGACACCTCAATTCAACTCAGCTTGTAATAAATTCATTCAACTTACATTTTATAGAAAGTTCGAACTTCAAGAGTGACTTGCAAACATTAGTTCACTCATAAGAGAAGGAGAATAGTAATTTAGGGTTTGAGAAGTTGCATGAGTTAAGTATTGAGGAATCAGTCAGACAATACTACCCGTAATCTTCCAAGCTATCAATCAATATGGATAATAATCTCTCTGGAATAAAAGATAGATCTATGACTAGCGGCATGAAAAATGAAACTTCATCTTTACTCGAGGATAGGCTCCTAATTAAGAATAATTGATTATTGTTATATGTCATTTTTATCTCAATCTAATTTCATCTTAATTTTCTTTAATGGGGTTTTGGGGTTTTGGGG